CTCTGTCTCTCTCTCTCTCTCTCTCCTCTCAAATTCCCCCTTTCCCTTTCACCCCTCACTCTGTCTCTCATCTCTCACTCACTCTCCCTCTATCTACTCTCTCTCTCTCTCTCTCTCTCTCTCTCTCTCTTCTCTCTCTCTCTCTCTCTCTCTCCTCTCTTCTCTCCCTCTCCAAGGTTAAATCTCTCTCCTTCCGTCAGATCCCCCTCTCGACGACCACAGTGTTGGGGTCAGTGTCGGCTATAACGGTGTCTCCTGACGGTGTTATCCACGTTGCTGACCAGAAGGCCCTCAAGCTCCTCAGCTTCGTCCACTACCTTCCCCCTGACGACCAGAACGGCGACTTCCAGGTGAGATGAGGTCGCAAGGTTGGGGAAGATTGCCTCAAGGGACAAATGGTGCCCAACCACTTGAACGGTCGGGGATTGAACGCCGACCCGCATGAAGCGACACCGTCGTTCTACCGTCCAGTCCAAGTGGTTGGGCAAGGCCAGAGGAAAGATAGGATTCTAAAATAAAAGAGTTTAGATAGGATTCCAGGGGCCAAGGAGAGGGATTAGACAAGTTGATATGGATAAAGGGATACTAGACTAAATCATAGGTTCCAGAAAGGGTTTGGATGAAATCACAGGGGCTAAAGGGAGGGACTTAGAGAACACAACAAACGCACAAGATTAAATTAGATGAGTCAGACTAAGTCATACAACCAGGTACAGGGGCCTCTGCCAAATCACAGACCTAAGGAGGGTGTCTAGTGGGTCAGTTATAAACGAACCACCTAAGACACACACACACACACACACACACACACACACACACACACAACACACCACACACACACACACACACACACACACACACACACACACACACACACACACACACACAAACCAACCACCACCACCACCACCACCACCACCACCTCATCTATATATCAGCTGATCAGATGTAAATAAAACACCAGCTGATCCAGTCATACGTGATCCGTACAGGTGGCGCACCCCCGCACGAACGAGCTGTACGTGTTCAACCGTCACGGCCACCACGTGGAGACCCGGGACCTGGTCACCGGCAGGACCCTCTACTCCTTCCTCTACTCCAAGAACACCTCCTTCGGCAGGCTCTCCAAGGTTACCGACTCCTCGGGCAACAAAGTCATGTTCCTTAGGGACTACAACTCAGCTGTCAGTCAGGTCAGTGTTGTTGTCGTTGAGTTAATGTTGATTGTGAGTATTAGTAAAGGTGCCAAGTGTGTTGCAGCAGTGCCAAGTGTGTTACAGCAGTGCCAAGTGTGTTACAGCAGTGCCAAGTGTGTTGCAGCAGTGCCAAGTGTGTTACAGCCGTGCCAAGTGTGTTACAGCAGTGCCAAGTGTGTTACAGCGGTGCCAATTATATTGCAACGGTGTGAAATGCATGCCAGTTGTGTTCGAAGTATGTGTACCAGTAGTGCCGTTTATGTTTCAGTGTCATCAAGAGATAGCAGTGCTAATTTAAGTTCAGTTGTATCTAGTGTGTTCTAAGCGGTGACAAGTGAGCTTGGCACAAAATGAGCGCCACTGGTGTCAGGGGTGCACGAGTGTCAGGGATGTCAGGGGTGCCACAGGGCTCAGGGGAGCGACGGGTGTCAGGGGTGCCACGAGTGTCAGGGATGTCAGGGGTGCCACAGGGCTCAGGGGAGCCACGGGTGTCGGGTGTGTGCAACTATCTCCTGATGTACTAATAATGTTCCATGACCTGATAGAGGAATGACCATACAGTACTATCTTGCATCTTTATCAACCTCTTCCCTCTCGCCCTACCTCCCTCGTTACTTCCCTCCCTCATTACTTCCCTCCCTCATTACTTCCCTCCCTCATTACTTCCCTCCCTCATTACTTCCCTCCCTCATTACTTCCCTCCCTCGTTACTTCCCTCCTTCATTACTTCCCTCCCTCATTACTTCCTTCCCTCTCAAAAACGATTTAACCAAAAAGCGTGTGGTTGCCGCTTCCAAAGTTTTTTCTCTGTTATTTCCTTTCCAGTCTCCCCTCTCCCCTCCAACCTCCCTCCCTGCCTCCCTCCCAACCTCCCTCCCTGTCTCCCTCCCTGCCTCCCTCCCTGTTGATCTCAGTAACTCCCAAACTCCACCGCCAATCCCCTTGACCAGAAGTTCCTCACGCTGGTCGACCAGCTCCCTATCGCCGCCCAACACACCCGATCGCCCCCATTTTTCTATTATTTTTGGCTAGATCCTTCTCGGTTCCGGAGACGTTCCCGGCGAAGATCTGAGAGAGAGAGAGAGAGAGAGAGAGAGAGAGAGAGAGAGAGAGAGAGAGAGAGAGAGAGAGAGAGAGAGAGAGAGAGAGAGAGAGAGAGAGAGAGAGAGAGAGAGAGAGAGAGAGAGAGAGAGAGAGAGAGAGAGAGAGAGAGAGGAGAGAGAGAGAGAGAGAGAGAGAGAGAGAGAGAGAGAGAGAGAGAGAGAGAGTGTGAGGGGTATACAGCATACAACTAACTCCTCCTGGTCTCTCTCTTCCCCACCACAGATCGAGAACACGATGGGGGAAAAGTTTGCAGTGCGGATCAGTCGTCTTGGCCTGATGACCAGGTTCTCAGAGAGGCCAGGCCGGATCTACGACTTCACCTACGACGACGACACCGGCCTCCTGGTGGCCTCCACCTCCCCAGGTCAGTGTCCTGGTGACCTCCACCTCCCCCCAGGTCAGTGTCCTGGTGACCTCCACCTCCCCAGGTCAGTGTCCTGGTGACCTCCACCTCCCCAGGTCAGTGTCCTGGTGACCTCCACCTCCCCAGGTCAGTGTCCTGGTGACCTCCACCACCCCCCAGGTCAGTGTCCTGGTGACCTCCACCACCCCCCAGGTCAGTGTCCTGGTGACCTCCACCACCCCCCAGGTCAGTGTCCTGGTGACCTCCACCTCCCCTCAGGTCAGTGTCCTGGTGACCTCCACCTCCCCCAGGTCAGTGTCCTGGTGACCTCCAACTCCCCCCAGGTCAGTGTCCTGGTGACCTTTCTCTCCCCAGCTCCTTGTGAGAGACCTGTATTTCCCCAGACGGGTGTCACGATGGGTTTTATTTGTCCCCAGGTGAATCTCAAGGTAACCTTTGTTTTCCTTCAGTTGAGCCTTATTTGGCGTATCCCTCCTTAGTGTTTACCTTAGTATTTATACAATATTTATTTAGGAAAATATATTTCCTAGCACTTTGAGCTCAGGTCAACCTTTGACACAGTGCCAAGACATGGCACTGGTAGTGGTGGTGTGGCCTGACACCACCACTACCACCAGTGCCATATCTGAGACATGGACTCTCGTTCTCCCCCCCAGGCCGCCTGACCTACGTGTACGAGTATGACGCGACGGGTCGCGTGGTAACGGTGGTGGCACCCACAGGCACCCGTGTGGGCGTGGACTCCTGGATGGGCGGCGAGGGTGCTCACCGGAGCCTGAGCGTGGGCGTGGGCGGCAGCCAGGGGGAGCACAACGCCCACGTCCTCACCATGACCAGCAACACCCGGGCGGTCTTCAACCAGGGTAAGTGAAGCGTTTGGGTTGGACAAAGTCGTCCTCTTATATATATATTTTCCCCTTTCTATTACGCTTCCATAAAAGTTTCAAGTCATTAACCCTTAGAGTGCTGTTAACGCGCCGGAGCGTTATCGGCAAATTCGGTTCATAATGCAGTTAGCGATCGTAAGTGCGTTCATGTATTAGTAAATATCAAGTCAGCTGAGGTCTCTGGAGTGACAGAGTAGTCGAGGAATTACCCAGTCTCTCATTGTTAACGTAATTTACCTGTAGTCAGTTTCCAGAGTCCTTCGGCTCCCCTCCCAATCTTCGCCGGAGGCTAGGCCTGTCTACTGGTAACTTGATCAATAAGGCTTTTGCTTGAAGAGGCCTGCAGGCTCAAGGTTGTTACATCCAGCTGATGCAGACCTTCCTTCAGGGACTTTTTTCAATTGTCCCTTGAAAACCTTCACTTGTGTTTTGGCTATTTCATATACTTGATAAGAGGAGGTTGAAGAACCGTGGACTTCTGTTACGGGCTCACCATAGCCCATGCTACTTGGAACTTTGTTCCAGGTAGCGAATCTTTAACAACAAACAAAGTGGACTTCTGATGTGTCTGCAAGAGAACCACGTGTTTGCCATGTGTTTGTAAGAGAGAACCATGCAGTGTTCTCTTTTTCTATGGCACCTCTTCTCTTCACTATATCACCTTTTCTCTGTAGCACCTCTTTTCTTCTCTCTATAGTACCTCTTCTCTTCATCGGCTCTATTCTGCATTTCCTACCATACATCTCATCCCGGTATATTGTTATTTTAGTGGGTATAATTGCGACTTGACCTTTCAGTAATATCGTAGCGCATATTACATGATCTTTCTCGTCTCCATTCCAGAAAGTATAAGTTGAGTACATACTTTTTTTTTAAGTTGTATTTTACACAAAAAAAATTGTTTACATGTGCTAAATCTTGAGAAGTTTGAGCTCCTAGTCTGATTGTAATTAAGCGCGTTCAATCTGTCAAACAACCCCACCTCACCCATTAAGGAACAACCTCATTTGTAGCGGAACGAACACACCACACACACACACACACCCTCCTGTTGGCCCGAGGGTCGTTAACTGGGATTTACGAAGCCGCTATAATCGCAGAGGGATACGAGACAGACTGAACACAGCATCTGTCCGTTAGATCTGAGCCCCTGTTGTCCTGTTTGGCCGAAAAACGTTAACAGACTTACTTTTGGAAAGTCTATCAGGCTTTTAAGTCTTGTAACAGTTAATTGAGAGATCGAATTTCCCGTTAGCTCAAGTTGAATATGGGGCAACAGAGAAGAAAAGTGTGGCAACAGAGAGGAAAAGTGTGGCAACAGAGAGGAAAAGTGTGACAACAGAGACGAAAAGTGTGACAACAGAAAAGAAAAGTGTGGCAACAGAGAGGAAAAGTGTGACAACAGAGAAGAAAAGTGTGACAACAGAAAAGAAAAGTGTGGCAACAGAGAGGAAAAGTGTGACAACAGAGACGAAAAGTGTGACAACAGAAAAGAAAAGTGTGGCAACAGAGAAGAAAAGTGTGGCAACAGAGAGGAAAAGTGTGGCAACAGAGAAGAAAAGTGTAGCAACAGAGAAGAAAAGTGTGGCAACAGAGAAGAAAAGTGTGGCAACAGGAAGGAAAAGTGTGACAACAGAGAGGAAAAGTGTGACAACAGAAGAAAAGTGTGACAACAGAGAGGAAAAGTGTGACAACAGAGACGAAAAGTGTGACAACAGAAAAGAAAAGTGTGACAACAGAGAGCAAAAGTGTGACAACAGAGACGAAAAGTGTGGCAACAGAGAGGAAAAAAGTGTCAACAATTATGAGTATGATAAGACAATACAGTAACGGCTCGTTAGTAACATCGCCAACAGGCATAACAGTTGCGGTAACAAGCATCAATGATGTTACCGTTGTTACCATCAATAACCAGGCAACTACCGACATCAATAACGCTGTAATGAGCATCAATAACAAGGGGAGGGGCAACAAACAGACATCAATAACGCTATATAATAAGCCATTAGTAACGGGGGGGGGAAGCCAGGGAGTATCAATAACGCAGAGTTAACAGGTATCAAACACGTCGAGTTAACAGGCATCAATCAACACGGTAACAGACAACAACAGAGAAGTAATCTAATGCATGATATCAAGGCAGCAACAGGCGACAACGACATGGTCAACAGGACAACAGGATGGCAAGAAGACAAACCAATATTAGCAAGAGCAAATGAGATGTTGGATAATCCTGCATAAGCTCTCACACGCTCGTCACGTTCACGTACACTCACACACACACACACACACACACACACACACACACACACACACACACACACACACACACACACACACACACACACACACACACACACACACACCTCCACTAGAGATAATACAGATAAGCCTCTGGTCTATCGTGGGGTCCCGTTCTCTTAACACTCGTAGTAGTCTCCTTCTTCCCACTCTCCTGCACCCCCGTCCCCGCTCCGTCACACTGTCGTCCTCCTCCGTCACCCCGTCTCCTCCGTCACCCCGTCCCCCTCCGTCACACTATCCTCCTCCGTGTCCCCATCCCCCGTCCCATCACCCCCCCGCACTCTGTATCCGATTCCCAAGGTAGTTCGGAAACAGTTTGTGGCCGGAAATTGGCGGGAACGCTATCTGGAAACAGCGGGTGACGATGCGGGGGACGAGAAAGCTTACCGTCCGTGACGATGCGAGAGGACGGGGGAAACCTACCGTCTGTGACGAGGCGGGAGGATGGGGACCCCACCGTCCGTGGTCCTGGAAATACCCAGCGAACTCTTTCTCTAATCCCCAGAAACATTTTCCTGGAAATCCAGAACTGGAACTGCCAGTATCCAGTGACACTACCTGCAGGAAACAGAAACTAGTTACTGGAACTCTTTTGAATTTTTGGAACCTTCAGAAACCAACTTTTGGAACCTTGCTGGATCTGCGTCTACCCTTCCTTCCCCCTCTCCCATGGCCTGTGTGAGTGGTTCCGGTTCTCCTCAGAGCTCTGATTGATATCTGATTGATATGTGAGTGGCTCCAGGGCTTTTCTTGGCTCGTTGAACTCTTCTACACCTCATTTGTCAGGTGATTAATGACTCGATAACTCTCGAATGCCTAATTGGTGAGGTCACCAAAAGGAACCCCGAGGCGAGAGGGCCTCAGAGCCACCTGCTTGAAGTGTGACTTAACTTTCCAAACTATCAGTTCCTGGATCCTTTCTGGAGCTTGACTCTTGGGAAAGTGACTTGACGTGAGCTTCACACTTAACTAAAGACAGCACCTGGACGGTTTCAGCTGATGAGATCTGGGCAAGGTTATAGCACGATTCCAGCATCTTACTTTTAGAGGGCTCGTCCTAATTGGTCCTAGTCCAACAACTAAGAGAAGTTCCGGATCAGCCGGGCTGTGGTGGGTACGTGGCCCTGCGGGCCGCTCCAAGCAACAGCCTGGTGGACCAAACTCTCACAAGTCGAGCCTGGCCTCGGGCCGGGCTTGGGGAGTAGAAGAACTCCCAGAACCCCATCAACCAGGTATCAACTAATAATTATTAAGGTTAGAGCACAGATCCAGTAGGTTGTGTGGGTCAGCCCCAGGATCTTAGGCGAGTTCCTGGGCTTTGCCTAGCGCAACCAACGAAAATAAAATAATTGAAAGAACAGGCAAAGGAACATTAATGAGGCGTTTGTCTTCATTACTGGGTCAGGAGAGCGTCTACCCTCTGACAGTTTGGGAGAGAGGGAGCCATGACCGCGGGGAAGGAGCCTTGACCGCGGGAAAGGAGCCTTGACTGCGGGGAGGGAGCCATGACCGCTGGGAGGGAGGGTTGAAGGGAAGGAAGTAGATGGTACATAATACCAGTGCCTGCCGTTTAAGAATTGCTCTGTGGTGTTTCACATGAAATGTTTGACTTAAAGTTCCCCACAAAGGTCAGTATGCACTTGTGTATGTGTGTGTAAATAAAGTCTTCTATACTTAAGCTGTGGGGGTGCGTACTGGCTCCAGCTTGCAGCTGTGAGTCCACTGATACAGCGAGGGGTTCACCTGCGTCAACTGCGTCCTCCTCTAGCGCAGTCATTTGTTATGTTTTGACGCAGACAGAGTCTTTTTCTCACTGCTATACCGTCCTCCTCACTGCTATATACCGTCCGTGAAGCTTCCTGCACTGTCGGTGCAGCTTCCATTTCCTCGCGTCCTAATGCACTCATTGCAAGCGTGTGTTCATGTACTCAGCTTGGTGTACTCACCTAGGTGTACTCAGCTACGTGTACTCACCTTGGTGCTTACACAGCAACAGCGTCTAGCTCCCATTTTTCAAACATTTCGTAGCTTAATGCAGTGATGGTTATCTCGTCTTTTGATTTATATTTTCATTTAAAATCAGTTTCATGCACGTCTTCGTCTAAAGCCCAACCACTTGGGCTAGACATTAGAGCGACGGTCTCGCGTCATGCAGGTCGGCGTTCAATTCCCGACCGTTCAAGGGGTTGTATACCATTCCTTGTCCCTCGTCCCATTCCAAATATTTATCCTGACCCCTTCCCAGTGCTACATAGTCGTAATGGCTTGGCGCTTTTCCCTGATATATGTAAATCATTCCATTTGTTTACATGTCCAAGACAGAAGACAATGTACATTCCGCCTCTCATGTGGCTCATCTGTGTAACTTATCTGTTCTGCTCTACATAATTCAGCTTCTTTGTTCTACTATGTCATTTCCCCTTTGTTATAATAACGGCAGCGGGGAAGGCAGCCTCGTGTGGCGTGTCCTGGGGCACACCTTCACTTGGTAAGGGGCCTTTATAACGCTCTTTACGGCCCCGGCAATAGCAAGTTACGATGCGTTGTTTCCCGGTAATCCGGACCTCAATTTTTAGTGAGGTCGGATGGGTGGTGGTGTGGATGGATGGTGGGTGCTACGAACGATAACAAATGCCTTTGTCGTTCGAGACCTCCGTTCGTTCGAGACTTCG